TCCCCCCCCCCCCCCCCTTTTCTTCTTTCAGCACTGGCATACAAACCATGCTATTTTAACTTCTTTCCTGTTCTCCCAGTTCTTCTGGAACATTTTATTTTCAACAGTCAACTCGTTTGGAGAAGTGCCATGCTGAAGTTCAACCGTTTACAGTGTTAACTGTGTCTCTGCCAGCAGCTGAAGACTTGCATCGCCAACTTCTCCAACCCCCTTTTAGGTTAAGAGAATTGTGTTCCCTCTCTCTCAACAAAAAAAAAAAAGAAAGAAAGAAAGAATATTTAAGCATGCTTAACTCCTATCTCACCCTGCTTTTTCTTCAAACCTACTCTCACTCTTTGAACAGTAAATTGGACTTGCCTTCCCATATTCTTTAATTAACACATTCAAGACTGCTGTTCAAGTTATATGGGTTCATACTAAGTTTTACTACTCTGAGAAATTTCTAAAAGACACCCTGGCTATCATTTAGCAACTTCATGGTTTCTGCAGCACAACATAGAGACAAGTATCTGGAAAAAAATGTGTCTAGATGGACACAGTCAAATGTTTTGGGGGGAACTCACCAATGAGAAGTTTGATCAATAGTGAAAGTAGTTGATCAATGACAAACTTAAATGATTATGTTGGTTAATCCAGTAGATGAGATCACAAAAAAAACAAACCCTTGCTTCTTGCATATTTCCTGGATCATCACAGCTACAACAGTACAACCCTACTACAGTGGCAGGAAAAGACAGTTTGGAACAGGTTTATAACCTGCATTTTGTCAATCCTTGCAGGAGACCACTGCAAGCATGCAGATAAATATTGCTAACATGGCTTCCTACAATGAGGTAATAGAACTACAAAGCAAAGTCCAGAAGAGCAAACAAGCTAAAGAGACACAAGTGATACAACTAACACCTGCTCTGTAGACTTTTCCTAGTTATGCCAAAAAGGGTCCCCTCCAACAACCAGTATCTCTCCTCAGTTTTCTCTTTGCAACATTTTAGCATTTCTTCAACAACTTTGTACCTGTACTTTTCCTCCCTGGGTTATGGTTAGTTATGGTTTTAGAATTGGACAAAGCTGGTTTATGAATATTACATAGCTATTCACCAATTTCACAGATCTAAGTCCTTTTTCCACAGCTTCTTACTACAAAGGAGTGCTCTTTAGCTTAATTTGAGAAATTATCTGCAACAACATGCAGAGCAACTGTTACAGCACACTACAGCAATCTTAATTCATACTGTAACACTACATGTGTTGTTTGTAAATAATCCAAAAAACCCCCAGCTAGTAGCTCACTATTCTTTCTGAAAGCTCAGAATTTCAAGAAGTATGCTTGTGTTTTTGGAGTAACCTTCCTCAAACTGCAGCATGTACTATTATAAGATTTTAGTACTTCCCATTTCCTTTCTAACACTAAAATTAAACTGTCCATTCCTTAGGGCCCAGCATCTGCCAGATGTCCAAGTATCTTTGTAGAGCATGATTCTCTTCCAATACCCATCAGTTCTCACTCACAGTGGGTTGATGGCTTGCAAACACCAGTCTTGCTCTAAGTCAAACCAATACAGTAACCATTTCATTGTTTAACTTCATTATTGTAAATCAGTTACAAAACAGAAAAGCCTTTTACTTTTGCTTATTTCCACATAAACCATCAGATTACACAGCCACACAAGATTGTGCATATTCTCAACCCACTATATGCACAACATAATTAATAGATGCTGTTTTGCTATTTGGGGGCTCTTTTCTCTATCAGTTTCAGTGGTGCCTTTCAAATTGCACATTCTTCAATAGCATGCTACAAGTTTAATGACAACACACCCAACAACGAGTTGAATTCATTGTTTAAACCAATGAACCAAGTATCAACTTCAATAAATACCTGTGAATAAACAGTACTTCATGAGAAAGAGATCATTCTTCTATTGTTTTTCATCAGAAGTGACACTTATGAAGTCCATTTACTACAAATTTCAATTCTTGCTCAGAGATGCACAAAGTAGCTTAATTAGCAAAACTACTCCTGTCCCAAGAGATTTCAATCTCACATTGAATAACGAACATACTTGTGAGAACTAGTCTACACTCATCCAAATATGGAGAACATTATGCAGAATAGTGCATCTATAGTAACAGTTATGGTTTTCTATAGTGCCCATCACTGTAACATATAGGGGAGGCCCTCCCTTTAGATGCTCAATTTCTTGAATCTCACACTAACTGTCCAATTGCATGTGTCATTTTCTATAGCAATGAATTATAGACCAAATTATACTGCTAGCACTAAGTTGATAGCTCAGCCAGAATAGGTTGTGTGCTTCTGTGTTGAGATCAGAGAAGACGGTCATATAGCCCTGTGGTTTCTCTCGTTTAGAAACCTGCAAGTTTTTTGGCCATTTTCTACATCTGAAATCAGTATGAAGGGGAAGAGGCATGCATCATGGGCCTGATCCAAAGTCTGCAAAATTTAGTAAAGGGCCTTTTCATTAACTTCAGTCACCAAATCAGGCTCACATGGAAGGTGATAAAATGAAACATTGATCACCTTTGATCAGACAGCAGATGAAGACTCCTTCTCTTTCATGCAGTGGCTGTGTAAGCTTGAATATATCTAAAGTTAAAAGTGCCAAGGTCCATCCCACATGTGTTCTGTTTCAAAGCTGATCATGATATTTCAAGCAATTGAATGAGACCAATTTGCAACCACCATTCTAGAACCACACAATCCCTTGAAAAGTGTACATTCAAGGGTTTGACTGTTCAGTGTTACATACACACATGCAGATATACACACAGACACACACACCCACTTTTTTTTTCCAGAAATGAAAACAGATCAAGTATATTGCTTTTAATCTTGTGGCAGCTGGAATCATCAAGTTCTACTCCAACCACCATCTTACAAGTCTTTCTACCTTTGCACAGGCACACTTGTGTTAGCTGCTAATGGCTAACATCCATTCACTTGGTATCCTAAGACTCATCTCACTCAGATATTTCCTACACCATACTTCCATTCTTGAGTTCTCCCAAATACTTTAAACACCATGTATGAAAGCACATGGCTTACACCTCTCTGCTGACCCATTCTTCAACCAGTATGGTAATGGTCCTTTTGGAATCCTGAAGCATTGCAGCACTTCATTTTGGGTTATTATTTGAGAAAGTATATACTTGTAACAACAGATTAGCAAAGTGTGATGGGTCCTCCTGGCTTTGAGACTTGCCTAAACTCTTCCAAATAAAAAGGCAGCGGGGGGGAGAAAAGCCTTCTGTTCAGCTGCCATCATATTTTAAAGTTCTTAGGTTTCCATAATGACATTAAAAGTTTCAGAAATAAATTGTCTGGGTCACTGAAGAACATGAAAAATATTTCGAGGGTTAAAAATGCGAGGGGAGAAAACCCTCATCATTTATGGTATCTTAAGAACCTTCTATTAGCAGGCAGCCCCAGGGCACCTCTAAAAGCTTTCCAGTATTGTAAGCATGCAACCAAGTTAGCTGGGGAAAATGTTCCACTGTAATTTAAAATGCATCCAGAAGGAATGTTCTGGGGCAGCAGAAGAGAAAATACCCTAAAAATAAGGCTACCAGGATCACCTTTGAGGCTGATGTTTCATGGTGTTCTGCAGAAGAACCCGAGCAGCTTCCAGCTATGGAAACTTGCCTCAAAATATGAAAGAAAAATGATGCATCTGGTCAACTCATCAACACCTTAATTCCTATGAAGGTTACTCAGAGGGAGAAAAGTCTAAAGCATTGACCTCAACATGAAAATTGGAGAAAGAAACCCCTTAGGACATGCTCTTCTATGTGGAGAAGGATCTAAGACATTTCCTCCACTCCTCCATTTCCTAAGAGAATGGAGAGCCATCAACAATCTTGCACAGTGCAAAACTGAAGAAACCTTTGGGAGGAAAAAAATGCCATGAGCAAGCCAGCCATTGCCAGCAAAGCTTCACACACAAAAAATGGAGAGGCATCCATAATGTTTTGAGCACTTCCTATCTCAGCTTTGTCTACTGGAAGCTTGCTCTCTCTCTCCTCCATTTTCTGGTGGAGCTACTGAACATGACATGGCTTACCTGACTCAGATCACAGCTCTCTGCCAAACTAGTCACTTCCTCTTAGACATGCAAGCAGCTTCATGAGACAGACACACACACACACACACACACACACACAAAGCAGCAGTAGAAAGCCCCCAGACTTGAAGGTCTTTCCAATCCCAGACATTAAAAACGAATGAAACTTTTTATAAAAAAAAAAAAAAAAAAGAAGAAAGAAAAAAAAGAGGGAGGTGGGGAGGGGGGGGTCTCTTATCCCATCACATCTACCAGACGCTCTGGTAGGATCTCTCTCCTTCTCTCTGCAGGATAGAAACTACAATGCTTCAGAGAAAAGGAAGGTTACTCCAGAAGACATAAAGAGCCTGGAGACTGCGTGTGTGCGAGGAGAAGCTTTGTGTGGTGGAGTCTGGACTGGAACCAAAGCAGACAGCTTGCAAATGGAGGACAGGGAGATAAAGAAAGGGAAAGAGGGGGAAGAGATAGAGCAAAGCTGCTCTGAATGAGGGGAAGCTCCTTCCTCCCGGCGTGCCAGGAGGACAGAGGCACCCGGGAGCTGAGCGAGCAAAAGTGGGGCTCCTGCCCCCTCCTTTCCTCCCCCTTTCTCTCGCGCTCTCTCTCAAAGGAGAGCAGAAGCGTGTGTGTAATGGCTTCTGCTCTCCAGCTAGCGCTGTCCTCCTCCAAGCAACCCCCTTCAGAAACCACCACCACCCCCCCCGCCCCCGGAGACGCAGCCAGAGACCCCCACATCCCAACTTGAGGAGCGGCGGTGGGGAGGGAGGGGTGAGGAGCCAAATACCTGGGTGATGGACCAGCTCGCAAGAGGGGAGGAGAAAAAAAAGGGGGGGGGGAGGGAGGGAGAGAAGGAAGGAGAGAAAGAAAGAAAGAGGTCACCCGATTGCCTGGGTCGTGCCAGCACGGAGCTTTTTCTCTCCTCTGTGTCTCTCCCGTCTCTGCTCCAAGTCCACACACACAGGCACCATTCAGCCCTTGCACACACATGCACACACACACACGGGCACCCCCAAGCCCCGCTGCTACCTCACTGATCTCCCCATATCTCCCCCCCCCCTTGAATGCAACAACAAAAATTAATTAGCCGCCTTCCTCCTCCTCCTCCTCCCACCACCACCACCAGCACCTCCTCCTCCTTCTCCTCCTCCATGCAAGAGAGACTTCTCTCTCAAACAAAACACCCCCCCTCTTTCTTTTTTTTCTCCCCTTCCTCCTTCCTCCCTTGGCTGAATGAATGGGTTTCCGAGGAAGACGGGGTGGTGGAGAGAGCGAAAGAAAGAGCGAAAGAAAGCCGAGAAGGAGAAAGGGAGATGATCCTGCCCATGCCAACCCGGAGATGGGTTTTCATGGCAAGAACTTACAGTGGTGTCCCGGAGCTACTGCCGCCGCCACCGCTGCCGCCGCCTCCTCTCCTCCTCCTCCTCCTGCTCTCTGCCCAGCTCTTCTTCTTGTTATTGTTGTGGAAGTTGTTTTGTGAGTCTCATGTGCTCCTTGCCAGGTCTCAGCAATGGAGGATCGCCATCTTTCCCTGCTTTTTTTTCCCCCCCTCTCTCTCTCCCTCTCTCTCTCTCTCCTTCACTGGCTTGCTGCAGCTGCAGATGACCTGAGATATCCGTCTCTCTCTCTCTCTCTCTCTCTCTCACTCACCCTCTGTGTCTCTCTCTGAATAATGAGCAACCAGAGGGAGAGAGAGAGAGAAAGAAGACAATCTTCCTCTCCTACCACACAAAACGCAAGAGCACCAGGGGGTGCAAGAAGCCTTTCTAACAACAACAACAACGTGTAGGGGAAGAGGAGGAAAAGAAAGAGGGAGAGAGAGAAAGAGGGGAAAGGCAAGGAAGAGGGAGGGAGGCAGAAAGAAAGAGCTCCAGGAGGCAGGGAGATGGAGCAGGAGAAGATGATGCTGATAGAGAAGGAGGTGGTGAAGATGGAGGAGCTGGAGAGGAGGAGAAGGTGGTAACAAAGTTAAGGTTTGGGACATTGAGTCACTCACAGGCCAGGGAGGAGGAGGAGAAGGAGGAGGAAGGGGGGGGGGAAGCGATCTGAAGAGCTTCCCCTTCCAAGCTGTTGCCTTCACAAAGCCTCCTGCACAGAAGCACTCATTAGCCCTGGCGCTGCCGGGGGAGCCCGCTCAGATGGATCTCGCCTGCTGGGTCATAGCTTTCTACCAGCCATGGCAAACCCCCGCTCCTGCAGGCAGATGTGCCCCCGAGCTGATCCCTCAGAAACATCCATCTAGAGGCTAATCTTCCCGGAGCAGGGTAAAGAACATAAATGGAGCTGGAGGTTGCAAAGTATAAAACCAGATCTACCACGTGGTTGGCGTTTAATCCCCCTTCCAGCTCGCGTTTGATGTGGAGACAAGAGGCTGGAATTGTCCATTTCTGGCACGTATTTTGAAGTCTTCTCCCAGAAAGAGAGACACGGCCGTTTCCGTTTTTTTGATTTCTCCCAGGCAGGTAGGAGAACAGAGAGCTTGTACGGCGGAGCACCAAGAGCACCTCCTAGATTTAGGAAATGCTTGGACTGAGCGCGAGGAGGGAGAAAACACCACCCAACCCCACTTAAAAGAACTTTTACACCTCCCGACCCCAAGTTGTCCGCGGTTCTGCGCCTGCTCGCTTAGCCCTGGGGCAGTGGGAACGATCAGGTGTCACGATGGTGGAGGCATGAGAGCAAAGATGAAGCTTTTTCTACCCTGATTTTTTTTAACGTAGTGTCATTTTCCAAGAGTCCTTCGGAGCTACCTCTTTTGAGAGATGGGTGTGTGTGTGTGTATATGTGTGTGTGTGTGTGTGTATATATAT